ACAGCTAGATTTGGGTGTTTTGGTGTGAGACTTCTACCATAGTCCCTGTTGGGATTATAGGGGCCTGACACCTCTGTGAATGAGGGCAAGAGAATTATGTAGCAAAATGCCATACTCAACACAGCAATTTTCTTCAGGCTTTGGAAATCAGTGACTTTTTGCAAATATTCTTTCTCCCTGTCATTAGGCTTTTTAAGTGACATCTTTTGTTAAATAAAAATGAATGTAAAAATAAAGAAGGGAAGAGAAGGGATGCAGTGACTGGACCTAGTGATGGAGGCTTCCTGACGTTTCTTATTCAGAACAGTAAGATGCTGCCCCTGCTAATTTCAGACATGTCATTAACAACATCTGAATCAGCAGCTTTCACATAGTCTTGATCTGGGACGTTCTTACATATTTTTCTATCCTAACACACTGGTAATCCCACCCTTCAGCATGATCTACCAACTCTTCATCAGACTACTGGATCCATTTCAGCTTCACAGCAGAAATGTTGCAGTCTTGCATTATCTCACGTAGGAGGGGGAAGCAGAAAGTTGGATACAAAGTGCAATAAAATGACATTCGGAATGCAGTTTGCCACCAGTCACCACGGTGATAAATCATGCAATCACAGAGATCTAGATTCAAATTTCTCAGTCTGTGTCAGTCATCCCTGTGTCACTGGAAGTAAACAAGACAAACAAATATCAAAGCCCTGAAGGCTTTGACCAGTGGCTGAAACATAGGTTATGTTCATATCTGGGATCAAACAAAATGTCCTGGAGTGTGAGAGACATTTGCATGGTGATGGCTTATATAATATGGAGTTATAGGAAACTTAATTGCTTTTGTAAAAACAGCTTGAAATCAGCTAGGACATTTATGTGTCTGAAATAATGGAACACATGTAAGGACAACTGAATTGAGTCCTGAGAGTGACAAAGACCTTACCTGAGACCTGAATGGATGGGAACCATTATCTGGTCTGGAAAAGAAGAGGCTAAGGGGTGACCTTGTTGCTCTCTACAGCTCCCTGAAAGGAGGTTGTGGTGAGGTGGGGGTTGGCCTCTGCTCCCACACAACGCCAATAGGATGAGTGGTGATGGCTTCATATTATGCCAGAGGAGGTTCAGGTTGAATGTTAGGAACAATTTCTTCTCAGAAAGAGTGGTGATGCATTGGCACAGGCTGCCCAGGGATGTGGTGGAGTCACTGTCCCTGAATGTGTTCCAGAATCATGGAGATGTGGCTCTGAGGGACATGGTCAGTGGGCATGGTAGGGCTGGGTTGGTGTTAGATTTGGTGATTAATAGCATGTCTTTTTTAATGAAATTCAGCCCAAAATACCTCCTTCTTCCAGCTTGCTGAACCTCAAGTGGTCAGAACTGATTGAGCCATCCACACAATAGCTATCCAAAATGAAACCTGGGGACCACATCCACTATGAGGAACTCCACTCACCATTCATGCTAAAAGTTAAGGGAGCTGCCACAGATTTTTCTATACAGGCTGCAGTGCAAAAGGGAAAGCACAGCCAGGGTATTGCACTGGATGGGGCCCTGAAGCCCCATGCCTGGTTCTCTGATATAGCTCTGAGCTCTTTGGAGGAAAACAGATTTCCTCTGGATTCAGATCGATGCACATTACCACATTACCATTGGTGGAAGCAGACAAACTAGGAGTCAGGTTAAGGCCTGAGCACTGTAATGAAAATCTTACAGCCAACTGCTCTGAGGGTCACACACCTGGAAGATATCCAAACCACAGGGAGAGGGGAATGCAGAGACCTTTTGGGAGGGGGCATATGCAGCCTGTGGATGCCCATGGTGCCTTGGTTTCATTTGTTTTGTTTAGTTGTTGGGTTGCTTTTGAGAGTTCACATAGAAGCCATCTCCTGCTCTGTTTTCTTTCCTGTTCTCCCAAAGTCATTAGGCTGTAGCAAAGTTCCTACCCTGAGGTCAGGCTGGCGGAAAGCTGAGATGCAGAAGGGAGCAGAGAGGAAGTCTCCCACCATACCAGCAGGGAGGGAGAAAGGAAGGTCTTGTTACAGGCTTAGCACTCAGTACATCTGAAATAGTACTTACACCTTTTGTGGTTCATTGGTCTCTGAGTTATGGCTGGAGTGAGGTGGGGAGGGAAGGAGCAGGTGGGCTGGTTCACTGCAGACAGATCAGTTCACCTGGAGATACAAGACGGTTGGCTGTGGTCTGGTGGAGCTTTGTAATGCACAGAGAGAGCATGGGAGAAAAGAAGGGCACATAGGCTGTATGGTGGCTGAGAGAACCACAGACCATGACCTAGAGAAGTAGTATGGTGCTTGACTTGGTGGGAAGCCATTTCACTAACCCCAAAGGCAAGTCACCCACAGCAGAGCACCTTAACCTATCCAAATCCTTCCAGAAGCAAGTGTGAGTGGCTCAGCAACGAGAACGCCTTCCCAAAGTATTTGGGAAGAAGAAAGGATGAAGATTAGATCCATACCACACCTCTCCCAACACTATCTCATCCCACCAGGGCATGGAGTAAGCAGGCAGCAACATTCAAGGACACCAGTTATGAAACTGATGTTCCCTGATCTTGCTATTATGTTGTGAATGTTACATTTTGCTAATAATCCATACCACTGGCATCACAGATCTTGAAGGGGGTTTTATGTCCTTCTGTTTCCTTCAGTTTCTATTCAGCTTCTTCTTTTTCAATGTGCGTGCATCAACAGTTGAAACAGTGAAGAATTACAGCAAGAGTCGAATTAAATGTCATGAATTAAAGTGTCAACCTTTTAAAACAGCGTGTCATGGAGTGGCAAGACCACGCTTATGAAGGCTGGGTTGCCACTTCCAACAGGTTGGTAGAGGTCCAGTGATGGTCAGTGTGCATTCAGGGCAGGTTTACATTATGTGGAACTCCTGTAGCAGGATGGTCTGTTGGAGAGCACACTGTCTGGAGCCTATAGAAGCAATATCCTTGGCTTGGATATGCATGACTTTTGTGGTCTTCTTTGAATTATTTGATCTTCCATTAGCTTGTAAAAGAGGTTTCTCAGACCATGAAGGTGGTTGTTTCAGCAGATGACTCAGTGTTTTGTTACCTGGAGGACCTTTCCTGATTCAGCATTTTGGTTTCCACAGCTGGGACCTCCCTTGAGCTAGGAGATGAGTGAGACCTGGAACTGCCCTTTTATTTTCCCCTGGGTAAATCCAGGTCTCCCCATTCCCAAGAACAAGTACTCTTGGAAACTAGTAAGCAGGAGCTGCCCTCTCAAAGGTCAATCTCAGCATTTTGGGAAACCTTCCAAGGCTTTCCTCGAGGACCTACATGCCCCACTCAAAAATTAACCTCCCCTGGAGGATCCCTGTTGTGATGCTGGGTGAGACATGCAGCACCTACGTCTGCAAGCAGGCAGAGTAGCGTGCATGCATGCACGCATGTGTATGTCTTGGCAGTTCTGACTCGACATCCTTTCAAAAAGAGGCCCTGTGGTTAATCAGAGGAATTAACCACAGCCTCCAAAAGTCTTCTGCCAGCCAATCAGCAGGCCCTTTCCAAGGCCATTGCTGCTACAATGGTGTCGTTGTCTGATAGGAACATGGATCTTTCCGGTTGAATTTCTGAATGGGGCTCAGGGATGCTTTTGTTCAGCTGGGCGTAGTAACGCCTCAGAATTGCCAAATGACCAAGAATCCAAAACTTGGAGTAAGGGTTTTTTTTTTTAAATTTTCACTATGGAGGCAAATGTTTTCCAGTTCAAAGATGACCCCAGTCTGGCAGCTGGAAATGTGCTCCAGGCCTCGCGGGGAACAAGTTATTATAACTTTTTCTTTTTCCTAAAACTCTCCAGCCTCCTCATATTCACTTTTTAGTGCCTGCTGTCCCCACATATACATACGTACATGCGCACACATCCACACTAGGATTAACATTGGCAAGCACACCACTCTACCAATGGAAACCGCAAAGAAACATTCACATATCTGGGGATTCTGATGTAATAGGGCTGAGGTTTTGCATTCCAGGACAGCGTTGCTAGCCTCAAATCAAAATCAGAGCTGTCATTCAGAACCCCGTGTTACGAATGTTATTGCAGCCCAGCGGGTGGGGTGAGGGAAAGGCGGGGGGTGGAGGAGGAGGGAATGAGGAGAAAGATGCTGAATTGGTTGGTTTCTTCTGAGTTTATTTCTGAGTTCAGATGATGAAAGGCAGTACGAGCCAGGATGGGGCAAGCATTTTAACCCTTTTCAGGCAGATATGTTCAATAAACCTCATGTTAAGATACATGCCCCAGCTACAGAATGAAGGAAAACATCTCAAAATCTAATGGAAAGCTAAGCGTTTCTAGGCCCAGCTCTAAAACATAGAGGGGCAAGGCAGATAACACTGCAGGATTAATGGCTATGAGTTCTCCTGTGAACAGGCCCATTTCCAATGGGATTTTGGCCAGCTAAAGTTCTGTCTGCATTGGATAACCATAGTCATAGGGTGCTTTAGATTAAAAACACAAATGGAATTGATTTCTTCTCACAACCCTGAGCCAAAATATGCCCTCCCCATGTTTTCTGTGGTAAGTTGACGTTCCACCAGCCTGTCCATCAGACTGTCAGCAATAGTATGGCACAGCCCTACAGCTAAATTTTGCTCTTCCATCAAAAATCCCAGATCGGTGGGCATTCTATGTGAGCAAAAATTGCCAAGTGATCTCTGGATTTGGCTGAGAGTTTGTAAGGCGCTTTGGGTTCCTTTGGGATGAAAATGCTGCAAAACTCCCATCTTCATCACAATTCCATTGCAAAAAATCACAGCTCCCCCCCAGCCATTAAGAAAGAGAAATTTCACTTTCCAAGCTGCTCTAACGTCCAAAAGATGACATCAGGTGTGATTGCCCAAGGTTTCCCAAGCCCAGAGATCTACACCCCAACAGGTACAACAGCCTGAATCTCTGTACTGCTACAGTGGATGTGTTACGATGCAGGAGGACGCGTTCTAATGTGACGCTATTTTTTCCATCATTTGTACTGCAGGAGGTCTTTGATCGCCTCTATTTGATTTATACTGTTGGATACTCCATCTCTCTGGGATCCCTCACAGTTGCTGTCCTTATCCTGGGATACTTCAGGTAGGCGGCTCTGTTTTTACCTAAGCGAGTTATCGCTGGACTAGAAAAGCCTTGGGCTTTCCTAAAGGATAAAATTGGGATGGCAAGGGGTTGCATCTGTGCTTTGGGCTGTGTTAGTCCCACTTAGGTCAAACTTCTGGGGGATGAGGGGAGGGATGTTTGAACTTCTTCCCATTGTCTGCAATGGAGTTTTTTCTAGACCAGATTTATAACAAACGGGAAGTGAAGCAGCTCCAGGACGAGACTTGTCTCATTTGGAATACCATGTAGAGTTTTCTATTCCTAATTGTCCTTAGAGTCAGATGGGTAATTTTTAGGTGGTTAAGGTTTCGTAAGGGAAATGCCACTCTAAACCCAAACTTTATTGAAGGAGGGACTAGTTGAAGGGAACCCTGGCCATATAAAAGTCTTAGACATAGTCATTCATTTTCCCCATTCTGCTCCAGTACCTGGGGAGATAGAAATGACCACTTGCTCTTCTGCCTGCCCTCTCCACCATAAAAGGGATGTAGGTCCCTAAATATTGTTTTGAATCGGCACCATCCAGCCCATTGAGCTGGCTTTTGCATGTTTTTTGCTACCATCATAACCAGAGGCAGGATGAAAGTCTCATTAACAGAGACTTTTGAATGCCTCATCCCTGAAGGTATACAGGACCAGGCTGGATGGGGCCCTGGGCAAACTGATCTGGTGCCTGATTTAGTGGTTGGCAACCCTGCCTACAGCAGGGACTTGGAATTCAATAATGTTTGAGGTTCCTTCCTACCCAAACTATTCTATGATTCTGTGATTCTGTGGTTCACAGCAAAAATTTGTCCTTTGGGCACCCATATCTGGTGAGCAGGTAGAGCAGGGCTCTGACCCCTATAGCCCAGTGCCACAAGCCCCACATTCTCCTGCCTTTGGCTGCTTGCAGTCACTTCTCATGGCAGACAGCAGGACCCAGACAGCAGCTGCAAAGGGAAGTTCTCCATGGAACAAACAGCTATTTGGTGTCTGCAGATGAAACTGGCAGCTACCACCATGCAAGCATAGGCTAAACCCCAGGGACATACCATCTGGTATAAAACATGTGCCCTTTGGCTCCATAAGTGCTCAGACCCCTCTGTAGTGAGCAAATGGAAGCTGAAAGGGTTTGCTTGGATAGCAAAGCATCCCAGTGCCTGAGCCTGTGAAACATACAAGGTGGTGTGGGCTGCAGACCCCTCCTGGAGGCATGATCCCAAAAACCAACCATACCCCACAAAAGCCAGCAATCTCCAGCCCTCTCAACCCTTTCTCCTTTTTTTTCAATTTTCTGCATGATGCTGGTGAGACTAATGAAATATTTAATGTGTACATATGCATGAGTGCTCCTAGCTCCAAAAGGCATCACTTTGTCATCTCCTAGCCCATACTAGACAGGAGGAGAGAATCTTTGCCCCAAGGATTGAAGAAGCCACAGAGGCCAATCCAAACTTTATTCCAGTTAATGTACAATCCAGAGATTCACTGGCTACATTTAAAGTGCAGGGAACAAAGCCCATCTTCATTTATACCTCAGAAATTCCACTTAGCTTAATTTGGATTGTAATAGTACAGGAAACAACTGTTATTACTGTGACAAGGTCTCCCAAAAGAGGAAAGAACATCTCTTATTTGTGCAATCATACTTGTGTTTTTGATGTTAGAGCTGGGGATTGAAGAGGGTAGAAATCCACTCACTGATTCGTGCTCACTCTTCTCCCCAGAGGCAAGATCACTGCTTCTAAAACACACCTTATGGATCCAATGTGTCCAATTCACTTCTTACCATCCAGCTTTTCCCCCAAAAGGATCATAAAGCGCTTTACAATCAGCATTTGTGGGGTCATTCACCTGCAGCTGCAATGCAGCCACTGCTGGAGTGACGCCCCAAAACTCTTCAGCATGTCCACCAGTGGATAGTGTCTCCAATGGCAATCAGAGGAAACAGCCCAGCACAACATAGATGCTAACCCAAGGATGGAATTTGGCATGGGCACAAAAATAAGCAGTTTATGCTCCAGGACACTCTGCAAGGTTTTTATTGTCCTCAAGCTCACTAGTACTTGCAGTCCATTTCCTCCAAACAAAATGCAGATAGATAAGTGAAATCTTTAAATGCAGATTTAACTCTATGGGAGGAGTGGAGTTCTTGGAAGAGTCACCTGTGAGAGGAACAGAGATACACATTTTAGTATCAGTGAGAGCTGTGCACGTATCCTGCCTGATGCCTGTACATCTGGGAAAACAACTACATGTCTGATCCACACTTACGGCACGTGCACTGAACACTGTGCACACGCTGCATACAAGGATGCTCATGCCTTGTACACTGCACAGCTGATGATGGTTCACTGCATCCTCTAGCTGTAGACTCAAGGCACACAGCCCACTGCATGCATCCTTACCACCTGAGCCCAAAAGAAGCAAAATGCATCTTTGTTTCTTGCCAGAAGTTTCTAGTGAGAAACAAGAGCTTTGCCCCATCCCTGGAGCTGCTCGTGGCCAGTTTGGATAAGGCCCTGGGCAGTCTGATCTAGTCTGGGGCAACCAGCCCACAGCAGGGGGGTGGAACTGGATGGGCATTAATGTCCCTTCCAACCCAACCATTGTGTGGTTGTCTGATTCTATGATTCTATGAAATGAGTATAGATATTGTGTTGTCCTAATGCAAAGTCAATGGTGTGGGGCTCTCAAGAAGCAGAGGTGACCCTCAATCTGTCTAACAGATAGGCTGACCTACTCCAACTCTTCTCTTTTCTCCATGCCAGGCGTTTGCACTGCACTAGAAACTACATCCACATGCACCTGTTTGTCTCCTTCATGTTGAGAGCTGTGAGCATCTTTGTGAAGGACGCAGTCTTGTACTCCGGGTCAGCCTTGGAGGAGATGGAGCGGATTTCTGAGGAAGACCTGAAATCCATAACTGAAGCACCTCCAGCAGATAAGTCACAGTTTGTGAGTATCACCACAGCAGCCTCATACCTCTGTCCTTCCTGCCCAATGCCTCACCCCTTTCAGCAAGGCGTTGGACCATTACCCACTATTACTGCAGTGGGTGTTTGGCTGATTTTCCACTTGGAGCTCCTCTCTGTATGAGCCATAGAGGCAGTACTGTGCTATAACATCTGTACCATCAAACTAACACCTGGGGCATTGCACAGGTTGCCCAGAGAGGTGATGGATGCCTCCTCCCTGCAGACAGTCAAGGTCAGGCTGGACGAGGCTCTGAGCACCTGATGGAGCTGTGGGTGTCCCTGTTCATTGCAGGGGGAATTGGACAAGATGGCCTTTCAGGGTCCTTTCCAACTCAAATGGCTCTATGATTCTTGGTGTCTTGGAAGACTTTTGGTGTTAATTCCAGGGCTGGAGTGGAGGTATCTCATGAGGGAGAAAGTCAGTAGTAGATATCTCACCTTCTTCTAACTTTGCATCAAACCATGACTGGTTGATCACTTCCATTTCTGATAAAAGACTTAGAAGAGTCAATGGAGAGTTTACCCACAATCACAGGAGAAAGGATAGGATTCATCTGCATAAAAGCAGATGTCTGCAAACGACACATCTTCTTTCACTCTTGTCAACTCAATTTTCCTCTATGGTCAAAGGAAATCAGATCAACGCAAACAGTTAAGAGCACGATTCATCACATCCCCTATAAAAACTTAAGTGAGGTCAGGTGAACTTGACTCCAGAGTACGTGTGTCTCTTCACAGATGGCACAGATGGCTCAGATGGAGACATCTGCATTGTCCATGTGGTTGTTGGGTTGAAGCCTATCCTCAGATTTCAAAATTGTCCCCACCTGCTGAAGCTGTCTACTCCCCTTGTCTCTGGTCTCACCATAGACCTCCCATGACTGATCCTTTCTATCCACAAACAGCTGGATGCTACGGAGACGGGAGAGAGTTTTATTAAGATCAAATGTTAACTTCAATGCACAAAAATAATTAAAAAGAAATTAGAGCTAGCTCAAACACGCTAATAGAGCATGTCCACCAACGGGACATCGCCGCTCACAGCACAAGCTTTATGCCTGTGTATTCAATTGGCTTCATAAGTGTGTTTCACAGCCCATGCTACTGCCAGGGACCTGGCTACAAACAGTCCTATTGTCTGGTGTTTGCTCAGTGGCAATAATCACAGCAGTTGTCCTGCAGAAGATGGTACTAACTGCTTCTCCAAAGACAGCTGTCACGCCACAGACCCCTCCAGGGAGCTGTGCCTGTTGACTCTGTGTTAGGATGCACACCTCATTTTGGAAATAGCCAACTGAGATAAGCTTCTGAGACCTTGACGCTCACATGGCCAGTTGTGCTCTGCTTTGGGGCATCCCTCCAAATTGCTTCAGGTTATCAATAAGAGAGATCGTGACTTATTACAAAATCAGCACCTGAAATGTTTCCTAGCGTGTGCCTAAGAGCTCTGAGATGGAAATTTGTGGCATGTTTTCTTCTTGCTTCAGAAATCCATTTCATTATTTCAGCGACTGATCAGAGTGCTCAGTGCACCTCAGCACATTCTCCTTGTGAAAAGAACACAAAATATTTCACTGCATTGTTCTCTGTTTCTCCTTGGGCCGGAATAGTTATTAGGGATATTAGCAAATAAATAGCATTTCCCATTCTGATGAGCTGACAGGCAAACAAGTGATGGAGGCAACAATCAATACATTTATTTTGTTTCCAAAAAGGAGTGGAAGCTTTGCAATTACTGTCTGACACTCTCTGTGTGGGAGTAGATGGTGATTTTTAATGAATATAGAAGTTATTGTTAAGACTGGATGGGATTTTTTTAAATTTATCTTCATTCTATTCCATCTCACTTTTTCTCACGTTTGCAAAAGAAGGCATTATGTGTCCCTTGAATCTGTTAAGCACATGCAGCATCCTCACTTTGCAGTTTTCCTCTAATTGGAGTGAGAAATGTTGGTACAAGGGTAATTTTACCCCACTCTGCCAAAAGGACAGGGGAGCACTGAGTCACAGTCAGTTTTCCTCTCTCGTAAGCGAAGGATTGTAGTTCAGTGTGAAGTGAGAGGCCAGCTAATATTCCCATAAAAATCAGGGACCTGCTGGGTTTCCCACCTTGTAGATCTGTGCAGAAAATGCCTTGATATTTGGGGTGAAATCTCCCCATAGGCTCTGGAAGAAGTCACTCTTCCAGATGATGGTAAGCCTGGGTGAGGTGAATTGCACCACGTCACCCAGCCCAAGGTGACTTGGTCACAGTCCTTTTGTTATCATGGCCACGAGTCATAGGAAAAGGATAAGGCACAGAAACTCTAGGAAGTGGGTGAACCTCTCATCTCTGGGTTTGGGGGATAGTGTCAGTTCACTATCCACCCATGTGTCCCAGCCCTTCTACACATCCTTGCTCACCTAGAATCATCAAATATCCCAAGTTGGAAGTGACCTATGAGGATCACTGAGTCCAGCTTCTGGCTCCATGCAGGACAACCCAAAAATCAGACCATATGCTTGAGAGTGTCATCTAGATGCTTCTTGAGGACTTGGTATTGAGGACATGGTGTCAAGCTGAGGAGTTTCTTCTCAGTTGTTCATCTCTCCCTGCACTAATGCTCTTCCTTGTAAAAACTCTGCTAGACAATGTTCCCATTTATTTCTTCCTTTTTCCTTTCTTCTCAGCCCATCTTGGCAAATATGGATTTATGTAGAACAAGAATTTCGCACTGTGTTTCTAACCCCGTCTTTCTGTGCTCGTTGCAGGTGGGTTGCAAAGTAGCAGTTACTTTCTTCCTCTACTTCCTGGCAACCAATTACTACTGGATTCTGGTGGAAGGGCTCTATCTCCACAGCCTCATCTTCATGGCTTTTTTCTCAGAGAAGAAGTATCTCTGGGGATTCACATTATTTGGCTGGGGTAAGTAGATACGGTGGCTCTTGGAAGGACAGTGAGCTCTGTCATGAATCCTTTAGCACTTCTGAATTGTGGTATTCACACAGTGGTACTTCCAGCATCTCTGGAAGGATCACCCAGGGCTTGGAGACATCTTACCATCTTTCCAGGACAGCAAATGCATGCATGTGAGCTGCTTTTAGTGCACTCTCTGAGTTATTCCCACCTCTGCCAAGTGCTGAGGAACCAGCATTGAGCTGGAGGAGTTGGAAAGCTGCAGGAAGCTGTGAGCATCTTCTCACAACAGCAGAGCTCAGCTCTAGTTTCTTACCTCTGGTCTCAGTGGCTGTAAAAAGCTTCTGATGTTTTGCATATGCTGAAACACCAGTGGAAGCCTGCAGTTTGTGGGGAAACCTTTTTTTTCTTTTTCCTTTTAACCCTGGCATCTTTTCATGGAGTAAGGGATGTGGGTGCAGAGGGGGTGCTCATTAGTGGAAGGCATTGTGGGGCACAGGCACTTGAGATGAGAATGTGCTTTTTGTTCACTTCTGGCATAAGCTTTGGCTTGCAAGGAGTTATGAGGTGTGGGTAGGATGAGGACAATAAAAACACTGCCCACCGCGTCTGAAGCATGCAGGCTGGAAGGGAGAACAGGGAATATATTAGATGATCCTGAAGGACACAGCTACAAATGATGGGGTGTGAGTCTACAATGGAGCTTACAACAGGAAAAACCTGCTCAGAGATACCCATGGTTACCTCTAAACTGTATGGCCCAGGTCACTTCCCAGCTTCAGGCTCCAAAATGCACCTGGCCACATCCTGACTACATTTTAGAACAAGAGAAGTGTGTGTGCTACACCATCCCCATGCCAGGGCATGACTTCTTTCAGAAAAAAAAAACAAGCTTTTGGGTGCTGAATGAACCATGGCATACCTAAAAATTTGGGCAAACCAGGGCATAGGTATCCACAGTCTGTGAACGCAGGAAGAAATGGTAGATGTGTAACATGAGAAATATTAAGAAGGGCTCCAGGAAATGAATGGCAGGCTGCTATTTTGCTTTGGCACCATATATAACAGCAGAGCTCCAAGCAAACCAGATGATGGTGCAAATCTGAATTTAGGGAGGGCACTTTTTTGCTTTGTGAGTTGGACTAGCTGACCTTTAAAGGTCCCTTCCAACTTGAACAATACTATGTACATGCAAGTGATTCATCAGCCTACAGGACTCTCTCCAGCCTTTCTCCTTGCCCAAAAGCTCCTTGCTAACCTTGTATTCCTAGGCCAGAAACAACCAGTGCTGCCTCATAAGGGTGGGAGGCACAATGTCAGACCAAAGTGGGCTCCATCTCTCAGACAAAACTGAGTCCTATCCAACCTGTCACTGTGTGGGTATATGAATAAATAGAGAGATTTGGGGGACAGAGCATTTCTTACCTTACCTGCTCTGAGACAGATTCTCAGAGAATCTGAGAATGTTCTTTTTTAAGACAAAACAAATAAACAAAACCCCGCACCCTCTTCCAAACCTTCAAGCTACATAAAATTTGCTTCTGCTGCACAGTATGGAGAAGACTTGGAGAAGCAGTTCCCCAGAGGAAATTCTGGATGAGGGGGGATCAGCTGAAAAATAATGCCGTATGTTTAACAAGAAAAACCCACTTGATGCTGCTCATAACGTAGCCAAAGGAAAACAGTCTAACAGCCATGGGTTCCTCTCATTAATTCTTCCAACCACTGCCAGAGTATAATCATTTTATCAGTGCGACCACAAAGCTGAAGTCACACCTGTCATAACACCAATCATCTGCGTGCTTCCAAAAGTTTGAGGTTGCTTCATTTAAATTCCTCTGGAATGAGAAGATAGGATCCCTCCCGTCGCATTTGTTTTTGCTTTGTTTTGATTAGCATGATAATGTACACACACACACCCGCACAGACGTATTGCTTTGATAGCTTTTGGGCACTGGAAAGGGCAACACAATCCAGGAGCCACTGGAGTCAGTGGAAAAACTCCAGTTCCCTGCAGTGGGCACTGGATCCTGCCCATACCACAGCAGTGAAGGACAGGGAATTGGCAATGAATTATTATGACATTCCACAGAGGTATAGAAAATACATTTTCCCCAAAAACTGGGATTAAAAAAATTTTTTTTTTTTTTTTTTTTTGCTTGTGCAACAATAAACAAGGGAGGATTTTGGAAATTTCCAAGGTGAGGGGAAGAAAAGATCACCCTACAACAGCTTATTTCCAGTCTACAGAGGAAACCAGAACATATAGTTGGTCTTTGATGCCAGGCCCAAAGGTTTCAGTCCGGTCTTTCCAATCCATGTCCTCACTGGCACAAAGGAGCACAGCTCCATGGAAGTTAGCTGCGCCCTTCGTGCAGTTGCAAAGGAGGCACCGATGGCAGAAAGGAAAGTGTTTCTTGCCAGCACCCAACAAAAATAAATAAATAACGGTATTATGGGTAACAATAAATTCCCCAGCAGTCTTCAAGTTCCATGCAGCTGTTTTATGAAGGAAGTTTAAGAAGCATGACCAATAGCCAGAAAACCCAAGCTGATTCCACTGGCATTTTTCCTTCACACCACGTTAATTCCTCCGGCTGGACTGCACTGACTTTCAGCTACAGTGCAAGTGAGCACTGCAGGAAAACCTAAACAAGACCAACAGATCCGTGGGTTGTTGTTAGAGGTGCTCAGGTCCAAAACATCATGATCATAGAATCACAGAACCATATTAAAGCTGGAAAAAGACCCCTAAGATCACCAAATCCAACCCCTAGCCATGCCCACTAACCACATCCCTCAGTGCCATATCTCCATATTCCTTGAATACCTCCAGGGATGGTGACTCCACCACCTCCCCGGGCAACCTGTGCCAGTGTATTAACACTCTTTCTTGAGAAGAAATTTCTCCTAATATTCAACTTGAAACATGATGGGAAGCCCTACACATTTATCTCTACAAAAATCATCCTTGCCTGAAAGTACTTGTCCCCACCAAAGCAAGACGCGTACGGAGTGTTGTTGGTCCAGTTTGAGATGAGGAGACTTTGAAAGATAGTGACTGAGAAAACACTCACTGTAACTCAGGAAGGTTCTCAAATAGCAGGGAACAGAGACCAGATTTCTCCACGTTTGCATAAGGTCTTTATTCATAAGTTTTCTTCTCCCAGCAGACACTTTGCAGCCGCCTCTCTTACTTGCACCTTTGATACATGCACATTTATCTGTGTGCCAGAAGACATATCCATTGTGAACATGCAAGAAAAGTGGCTGGGCTGGCCACCAGGCTTTGTCTAGGTTGAGGTTTGCAATTTTTCTATCTGACAGGGAGATCGTAGAAACATAGAATCACGTAGGTTGGAAAATACCCTTAAGAACCCCAAGTCCAACCATCCACACAACGCTACCACATCCACACATCCCTTAAAGACCTCCAGGGATGGCAACTCCATCACTTCCCTGGGCAGCCTGTTCCTTACCTGACTATATAGCACCTGCATTGTACACACTGTGTGTGTTGACTGGAAATGCACAGCGCATACAATGTGGATTCTGTAGAAGTCACTCACGGCATCGCCGCCCAGTCATGCACGAGGTGTTTGTAGGCATGGGGAGGACACAAATGCACCCATCTGCTCCTGCATCTGTCAGTACACACAGCCAATAAGGAGATCACGGGCTTTTTGGAGACATGCTATCCTTCCTTTGGAGGGTTGGCCAGATGCATTTAATCACAGATGGCTTTCTTCCTTGCAGAGCTGTGTCCTCATGGGCACTTGCCTTATTGTGGGTACATTTAGATGCCTGACTTGGAGGTGTGCTCAGTCCTGCTGTTCTGGTTAATGGTTCTCCTGTCTATGGGTGCTGTGAATGCTCAGCAGCAGGGATGGTTCATCCCAGGATATTGCTGTCACATGGAGATACCTAGGAGTTAGTGATCCCTCTCTGAAAGTAAGAGTTGCTAGAGGGAAAGCAGAGCCTTCTGACTCTGCCAGCTTATGGACTGGATTACCAGAGTGGGAAAAAGTGGTTGAACTCTAGAAATTATCTGGTGGTCCAAAATCCACATGCTGTGTTGACGTGGAGAGAATCTAGAATCACAGAAGCATAGAATCACTAAGGCTGGAAAACACCACTAAAATCACCAGGTGCAATCCAACCCACCCCACCATGCCCACTGACCATGTCCCCAGGTGCCACATCTCCATGGTTCTGGAACCCCTCCAAGGATGGTGACCCCACCACAAAAAACTCCATCTAAAAACGGGGCAGAGAGAGGACTCATTCTGTTTTCTGTAAGTGTAAGAATATTTATGATCACGGTAAAGGATCATGTTTGAGATGCACAAAGGTAAACGTAGCAATAAAACCGGTGCCAGGAGTTCAGTTTGTGTGTCTTGCAGAAAATGTCAAGGATCCTTTCCCTAAGCTTGCCTGAGCAGTTGGAGGTGGCAACCCACAATAAATACACATGTAGGGATTTTTAGCTGTAATTACCTTCTCCTGTATGTTTTATTGTTGCTAGGAAGCTGGAACACAACACAGGATTAGTAGGAATGGAAACAGTGTCCTTTCTGAAGTACAAGACAGACCAGGGTGGAACAAACATGTGTCTAGTGCATCCAATCTCTGAAACAATCCATCTTTCAAATTTAGAGCATCACCATAATGGGTGAACACTGCAGTCTCAGAGGAAGGCAGCAAACCTCTGAGCACAGACAGCTGATGGAAACGAGGATATCACCAATGCTATCAGCAAAGTCACACACATCCAAGCCTTTGGTAGCTCAGCCAGGAGTTTGTGCACGTATTTTTTGTAGGTTCTTAACAGTGAGGAGGAAATAGATGGTGCTTGTTACAATAAATCATCACCTCCCCCAAGCCCTGATCTTCAGCATGCTCATGGCTTCCCAGTGCTATAGGTCAAGTATTTTCTTTCCATCGTGGGAGATTGTAAAGCAGGGTGCATTCCTTATAAATGTATCTTTGTAGGCAGTACTGCTGCGCTGGACCTGAGTGAGGCTCTGTGTTTAATTATTTATGCTTTCTTATATTACCGTAGCATTTAAAAGGTTCCAACCAAGATAACAGCCCCGTTGTACACGTGTGTGTATGAGACAGGCGTCCCTGCCCCACACCCCAGCTCAGGAAAGCATCCGTGGTCAGGAAAGCCTTTAAGCACTCTAATGAGACTTAAGTGCATGCTGAAAGTTAAGCGTGTGCCTATGCACGGCGAGCCCCAGTGAGCTTAGGCTCTGAACAGCATATTTACAGTCATCGGTGATAAATGTCGCCTTTATTTATTTTGTGACTTTTTTTTTTCCCCCCACCTGAAAGGGGTTATTCTTCAGGAATTTGTGGAAGCTACTGTGGATTTGATCCTGCCTTTTAAGGGAAGCCAGTAGGGGACTCAGTTGTACAAATAAAGCAGAACCGGACCCTAAAAAAATAAATAGAAGATTGCATTTGGATATTGGTGATTCTTTTACTTTTTGCAGGGAAAAGATGATGCCCAGTGTAACTGAGCTGAAATGAGGATGGTTCCTTTGGGAGCTAACCTTGGGCTAGAGTATTTTGCAAGTATTACTCTGAATTCCAACATTTGTCTGCTTTTAACAGCAAGTTTCTCATACTTTGCAAAGCCTTTAAAGCATCCAGGCCAGTAAAAATCAAAATGAAGCAAAGAAAATTTGAAGAGAGTCAGAAGCTATGAAAGGGTCCTTGACATTTCATAAAAATAAAACAAAATTTTCAAAAATCACCTCCAAAATTTCCTCCTTCAGCTGATGGCTACCTCCTACTGCTCTGGTCAGTATATCAGTCAGGCATTGTCTTGATGACCATTGAAAAATATTTATTATATCCATAGAGCAGAGGGCAGTGCAGTTTTTAGAGGTTCAGTTAGAGCTTATGGGTGAGTTTGCTCTAAATGCCTCATCCATTCTTTTAAATCAAATGGGACAAGGTTTGTGTTTTAGACTTGAGGCCAAATGGTACCACACGGCTCACACCTGTTCACCTCTGCTCCCCATCCCCAGAAGGGATGGCTTGAGCCTTGCAGAGGGTCTTTTGGGATGGTTGGGAGGGGAAGATGCCAAAGGCATGCCCAAATCTGGTTTTGTTGTTGCCATGAAGGCATTCAGGATTCAATTCAAGGAAATTTTTTGTTTCAAGCTTGATTCCAGGCCCACCTTCCCTTGAAGTCAAAGCAAAGGAACAGATGTATTCGGAATGATGCGTTCATATTTGGAAATATGAAAGCCATTTCTGCTTTTAATTGAATCAGTTAGCTAGAGCAGTCACAAACGTTCAGGTCCTACAGCCTGTGGCTCTAACAGGCAGAGCCAGAACATGGCACAGGACATTGGTGATTCATCCTGACAAGTCCATGGCCCTCCTCAGGCCTGGACCAGCTGAGCATCTCTAAACATGAATCAGAAAGTTGCTTAAGCCAAGACCACTTGTGATGGGCAGCTTGGAAAAGCAATCTGCTCTGTTTTGAGAGCCAGGAGCCTTCAGTAGGCTGGACATGTCCAGACCATGTAATTTGATCTCTATAAAATGCTCCCTTCCCGTAGATGGTTTACCGTTATAACACCTGGATTACAGAAGATCTAGAAAACCAAGATCATGGAATCATAGAATTATGGAATTGTTAAATTTGGGAAAGACCACTAAGATCATCTAATCCAACCAGCAGCCTGTTTCCACTGTGCCCACCAACCATGCCACTCAGTGCCACACTGAGTAACAGAGATCATACATTCCTTATCCAGATTATGCCTGAACATTTAAAAACTCTTTCTTCCCCTATCCCTCTCCAATTGAGCTTATGCTAATAGAGACCTCAGCTCCGTAGTGACCCCATTGATCTGTGTTTCTTTGCAGGACTCCCTGCTGTATTTGTTACAGCATGGGCCAGCGTGAGAGCCACTCTAGCCGACACAGAGTAAGTCTGGTTGGGTTTTCTTTTCTCCCTTTCCTGTGTGATGCTTTTGTGGGGTTTTTGGCATAGGTGACTTTGAGGGCGGATCAAAAGGAAAAAAAAAAAAAAAAGAACCAGGCAAAGCCAGAATCAATTCCAGATATAATGTTGGTAAACTGTTAAGGTGAGTTAGCAAACTGATATGGTTAAGATGGGTTCAATTTTCCTGGCTTCTCAGAATTGTACAGAATTGGATGAATGTGAACACCTGCAGCTGTTATCCGTGGGGCTGAAGGAAACTCTCTCAAGGCTAGGCAGAGACAGGAATGGACTGAATCATGAATGAATGACCTGCAGAGCATGGTAGAGTTGAGTCATTCACTTCTCCTTCCAGTAGAGGAACTGGAAATCATGGCATGAAACTGGGAGGTAGGAGGTTCAGCAGAGGAGGTGAAGCTGTAACACCTTGCTGCAGGAGATGTGGATTCCAGCATGGACTTAGGATTAAGAAGCACTCATAAAAACTCATGGAAAATAAATTCCTCCAGACATATTAAACACTCAGTAATGTACTGTCATCCTGAACTGCAGATTGTTGGAAGAATTATTGTGGAATAATATGATTACCCTCTAGCCCAATTGTCCTTAAATATCAACTTCTGGTTACTGTCAGAAAAAAAAGATACCAAATCAGCCACTTCTTAGGTCCTACACAAACACTCCAAGGCCCCATGCTCTTCCATTAAGCTGAATAAAGCACCCATAGCATCCCTGGTACCACACAGCCCAGGGCCGACCACAGAACAGGTTTCATCTACATCCAAAACTTTGCTATCAAAATTTGAAGGGACCACAGACAAATAACTTTGCCTAGGAAGAAACTGCTTTCCAAAGGGTAAAAACTTAAGCTGTAGGCATGGAAAGACTTGGTAGCACAGCTACTGAAGTATGACGCATCTGCGTTGGCACAGTCTCGTCCTTGTACAACCTTTCAGTCAGCACCAGTGGTTTCTCTACCCCTGTCTCTCACTTCCCTTGAATGGTTGCCTGGGCAGAGTTTGGCCCATGAAATGAAAACTGCAGCTGCCATCTGGAGGCTGTCTGGCTCAGATAAAGAAAGGCCTGTGGCACTCCTCTCTCTGTGGTTGGAGGGAATTCAAACAGAGTAATTAACACCAAGTGACCTTATTCCATGGTTGCTGGAAATTCCTGGGAGGAAATAGTGTCCAGCCCCTCGTCAGCAGATGGAAGCCCATAGGTGAACATCCATGCTACCAACAGCTTGCCCTTTCAGTCTTCATGTGGATAAGGGCTTCACTTGGATAAGGAAGATAAAGGCTTTTGTGGGTTTCACTTTGAGAGCAAGGTTGAAGGAGGTACCCAGAATCTGAATGTGAAAAAAACAGAATTATCCATACAATAACGTATTTGGCAGGACGGATCCCCAAGGAAGGCTGTGCAGGCTTGTTCCGAGGAGTGGTATTAGGCCATTTCAACCATTGCAAAGCCCATCATAGTCTCTTTTGTTATCATAAAAACCACATTATTCTTAGTGCATATTTTTCTCTTAAAAAAGTGAAGAAGTGGGGAAGGGTGGGTTCCTGTCCTGAGTCTTGGTGTCTATAGAAAGAGCTGTTCCACCATCTAGAGAGTGCTTACCAGGGTTTCAGTTTTGAATGGTATGGCAGCAGAAAAGGGATAACTTTGAAGGGTTAGAGCTAGGTCTTTCCAACCCAACAGGCTTTGGAGAAACCCCAGCCTTCCAGGGAGGATTTACACAAGGAGACACTGAGTCTGTTGGTCTTTGTAACCAATGGTTTCCTGATGGGATGTCAATCTCTTCTCAGGTGTTGGGACTTGAGTGCTGGCAATTTAAAATGGATTATTCAGGTGCCCATCCTGGCAGCTATCGTGGTGAGTACTGGCTGATCACAACAACTGGGAGGCTGTGACTGTATTCGAGTAATGGGTGCACAGTGCAAAGACTGGGCCGAGCTATCCTGCTCTAATTACACTCTTCATATATTCTCACCAGGCACCTGCAATGGGAAGCACTGTGACAGCCTGCATGAGGGGAAGCTAGTGGGTCATTATGTTTTTGAATAGAGTCCTAACTAGCTTGAGAACTTGCTTTCAGTTTTCAGGCATTACCCTCTTTCTTCTCCCTGTTTTTCTCTATGGTCCTCTATTACTTCATCTTCTGATAGTTACCTAAGTGCAAGCAAAAGAGCTTTTCCACACTCACGTGTCCTCACTCCCCATTACATACAACCTTGAGTAGCTGAACAGAGTCAGTAAGAATCTCTCTGTAGTCTTCAGCGTGTTTTGCATCAAACTCTGTACTTTGCTCTGACTTACAAATAAGGAGGCCTTTGGGATAGGATCAGTGTGGGTGAGAAGAAAACAAGCCCATCTGCACATAAACAGCAGGACAGTTTGAGAATGCGATCGTATGTGTGATGAGGTGAACTGCTTTGGACTTGAGGGGGATTTTTTTTCTTCTTTAAAATTTCCTTTAGGTAGAAATTCTCCACCTGGCTCTAGCAATCAGTTCTGCACCTTGGAAGAAACGAGTCACCAAGACCGCATCGTGGTCATTGGAAATGAAAAGTAGGATGGAGAAGTTCAGATAGTTCAGCTAGATGAATGCCAGCAACCTCATTGCATTTAATTTAAAGCCCAATTAGCAGAGGAGAAAGAGCTCGATTGAGGCTCGTCCTTGTAAAAATAATGTTCCTCCATGAGGCTCTGCTGTGCTTGTACCCTGGCTATATGCAAATGCAGCTATTTATCATGCAAAAATATTCTGTGGGTTGTTTCTGTTTAATTTCTGTGGGTTTATATTGTTCACTTGGCTGCTTTTTCAATTCCCACACTGGCTGGTCATACGTTACTGGACTAAGTTATGCATTTTCTGGATGTACTTGCAGAGAATTTAAAGGCTGAAGGGTTTGAAATCCCTTCACTCTGTTTCTACCTTTGATGTCATTAATTTGTCTGTATTCTTTGTTAAACTTAGCACATGTTTGATGAAAAGTCACAGGAATTTTCCTCCTGACTATGATAAGGTTGAGTATATCCAACTTAGTGGACAAATGCAGAACAAGATCTCACTGCTGAGTGTTTTCAACTAGAAAAAAACTCATAATAGAAACAAAGCTTTTTTTTTTTTTTTTCTTTTTTTTTTTTTCTTTTTTTTTTTTAACATTGGTTTCCAATGAAAATGAATTGGATATGCCTGTAGGCTGTGTGTTTCTCTGCCTATAGTCTACCCATCCCTCTCTCAGAATCCTTTTGCCAGTCCGTAAATTCTAACCAAATGGGATTGCATAGATGTTAAATTCCCACAGACCTCATGAAAACAGTCAAATAGATACAGGAGAGAAATTCTACTGATGCCCCATCAAGGAAAAGGTGTAATGTGACCCTACTCCTTTTTAACACAGAGGAGAGCTGTTTGAAATGAACTTGCACCTCGTTAAAGGAGAAAGAATCCAACCACAGAAGACAAAGCCATAGCAAACCAGGCCATGTTCATTCAGCTGTTCAGGGAACTACTTGTTTTAACAGCGAGGATAATTAACCATTGGAACTACTTCCCATGGTTGTGGTAGGATTGCCGTCATGGAAACACTGAAGGTCCACAATAATCCCTTCTGGTGTAGAACTATGAGCCTCTGTGTGTGGCATGGTAATTTGTTTCCTTGAAATGTTGCTGTACTGTTATCTGAGAAGTCAACTGATTGCTGTGAACCTCCAGAGAAGCCCATAGGCATCAGCATTAGCCCAGCAGTATGCAGCCATATAGGTGCTTACACAATGGCTCTGCATGTAGCCTCACCACATCACCAAGAGCAAATGTGTCTGGGGCAACAGCAGGCATAATCCTGACCCCAGTGAAACCAAACCTCAAGGACATCCAGAAAGCCAAGAATCCCTCAGAAATTTCCCTGTAGTTACATTGCCCTTCTGTGTTCTTGATCTATCATATCTAGTTATGCCTACTCTGTGTCTTCTACATGATGCAGTTTCCTCAGTCTTCTCTATTTATGTGCATGGAAACATGGAAAAACATCATTCTAATACTTCTTTCACCCTAAGACAACCTTATTCTTGGGTTGACTGTAAGAGACAAGTATAACCAAATTTCACTTTGCTCCCTGGACATCAAACTTAGACTGAGAAGTTTATAAGGCCATAAGAATGGCCCATACAGAGTTGTAAGCCACCTTCATGCGAAAGGCAGCCCAGGCTGGATAGTTCATATGTCAGTGTTTTCATTTGGGATGCCTACACTTTCGTGGAGAAGGCCATTGCTCTTGCTCACAACCCTTTGGATTAAACATAGCTGAAGTAATCCCACCCATCAACTACTGGGTCTTTCCTGGGGAGGTCATCTCTTGCATAGGAGAAGATCTTCCAGCTCATACACAGTGCAGTCACAAGGTCATTGCACGCCACAGCCCTTTGACTCATTGGAGGAGACACTGAATGGACAACTTGAGCACTGACTGAATGTCTTTTATATTTTGTTGTTGTTTCTTTTTCTTCCTCTTCCAGGTAAATTTTATTCTTTTTATCAATATTATCAGAGTCCTAGCAACCAAGCTACGGGAAACAAATGCAGGGAGGTGTGACTCACGACAACAGTACAGGTGAGTCACAAACCCTCCTCATGTTGTGGGTCAAAGTCCCTGCTTCCCCACTAGACTACAGATGGAGCCCAGGGTGGTTGGTTCAGCTGAAGACACTGTAGACACCAAAAACAAGGCAAGAATAATGTCATCTTCTGTGTAATGCAAATGATCAGCAGCCATTTAAACCTCTCCTGAACTTCTCCAACCCAAGGCATGGGACTTGCCTTGTAGTATAGAGAGTTCAGTTTCTCCAGCCAGTTTGGAAGTGGCAGTGCTGGCCTGGAACCAAGAGTGCAAAAATAAAAGCATTGTTTATGCTGCTGATGCCCCTAATACTTGTACCATTTTATTTATTTTTGCTTATTTCCCTCCTGTGCTTTGTAAAACATGGTCTGTTTGTTAAACCTGCCCTTCACTGGGTGCTTCCTGAAACTTTGCTGGAAATCTGGCATTTCCTTGTTTGTTTTGTTTTCCTTTGCCTTGCCAGCTCTATTCTCTTGATAATTCAGGGTATTTGTAGCTTAGTCAAAATGGGGCAGAAAAAGCAGATTGCTCAGCCACCTCAGCTGCTTGAGAGCTCCCAAGGCTTCTCATCGTCTCTTGAGCTGACAGACCAGCAGGACGCACACTGAGAGGGAAGAACAGAGTGATTTGGGCTGCAAACCATGAGCTCATTGCTACCATCTTACTCTGCAAACACAAGATGTTTCATTTGAAGCAGGAATGAGATTTGGCTGGAAAATATCACTCCATTTTCCTTTGCTGCCCTGTCAGAGATCTGATTTATCTATTTATTTATTTATCCCTGGCTGAAGCTTGCTATTAATTATGGTTTGGATGAGGCCTCCTCCTTAATGTTTTACATTCCCTCAGTGGTTTTCAGTTGCTGGACAGAGATGGTACCAGGGCTTTCTGGTAGCGATGTCTGCCCCTCTCAATAGTTGCCTGCACTCAGTGACTTGCTGTAACTCTTGGCAGCAGGCTTAATCCTTCAATTAGCATCACTTCCAGACAAGGCTGGTTCCCTCAGGAGCAAACTCAGCCAAGTACTCAGGGCTTCATTGTAGTTCACTCCTGCCCCTTGCTATAAGTCATGTGCTGAGATGGAACTTCTCTTTCAAACTGGAGCTAGTATACTAGACCAGTACTGGTCTAGAATTAAATGTGGAGGTTGGTGGCTCTGCATGTGGCAGGGGGGTTGGAGATTCATGATCCTTGAGGTCCCTTCCAACCCTGGCCATTCTGTGATTCTGTGATTCTTTCCAGTGGATTATAGACTCATAGAATCACTGAGTTGGAAGGGAACCTTAAAGACCATCTGGTCCAACTCCCCTGCAATGAACAGAGACACCCACAGCTCAATTGGGTGCTCAGAGCCCCATTCAGCCTGACCTTGAATGTCCCCAGAAATAGGGCATCCTCTAGGAATGCTGCTGTTCAAAATGCCTCCTAAGAGGATGATCTCCTCCTTACCCCATACTGCATCATCCTCTTGGTATCTAGCATGATTCTGCTCCTATGTGCACTTCCCTCCCTACTATTGCACAGAAGGCACTAACCCAGGGTGGACCTTTATGTCTTGCTTCAATAAGCTAGATAGAATTGCAGCATTACAGAAAGGCTGAGGCTCCCTGGAGATCATCTGGTCCAACCTTCCTGCCCAGACAGGTCCAGATGGAGTCAGTGGTCTAGGTCCATATCACTCCTCCACTTTCTTTCCATGTTCCTCTCCTAAAATAGTGGATGGTCTGAGACAAAGAAGTCTTGGTGCCTTCATCTCCAGTATCTACATCAGCATCCCAAGGGGACGTGTGTGTAGAGAGGGAGATGTGCTGAAGGATGGGTGGGGTTGTGTCACACATCATAAGAGTAGAAATAACTTGAAACTGGAGGTGGACACAATGCTTTTGTAAATGTAAGATATAGAGGACTAGCCAAGGGCGCGTGTTAAGCCAGAATTAAATTATGCATGAAAGACACCCAAGGTATGAGATGGACTGGCCTGGCTGGGAGTTTCATTCCATCCACTGACTTCCTCTGTGTCCTTCTCTTTCCTTATTGCTACAGGAAGCTGCTGAAATCTACCCTCGTCCTTATGCCTCTGTTTGGCGTTCACTATATTGTTTTCATGGCTATGCCATACACAGATGTGTCAGGGATTCTTTGGCAAGTTCAAATGCACTATGAAATGCTGTTCAACTCTTTCCAGGTAACTATAAACTGTGTTGTAGCTGTTAAACTATGGACACAAACTATGAGATACTCAACACACAGAAGAGGGAAATGAGAGTGCAGAATGTTCTCTTTGGAAACAGGGTTGCATTTACAGTATGCCAAATTTCATTCACAAGATCATTTGACAATATTTTAGCAGCAGGTATGTTTTATATTTGCAAAATGGAGCGTGAAAAGGTTTAGTGTGTTGCTGTTGAAAGATAACTTGCCCCACAATATCCATGTAGCTCCAGATTAGACATAAACTGGTGGAGATCCAGAGACATGTTGTTTCAAATTTGTTCAAATTTACTTCTCCCAAGCTGTCTTTCAGTCCTGTGAATTGATTCCTCAGTTCTAGGTTTGAGCAATATGCAGTTTCATTTAGGCTGGTCCTATATAAGGTGCAACAATAGGAATATGCAACTCTCTGCAAGCAGAGTTGTGTTGCATGGTCACTGTACGTCTTTCCTGAGAGATTAATGTTTGGCTTATGTTCTACTACCTATCATCATGGACAACTGGTGTGAATAATGAAAGGTGAACAGTAGATCTGGGAAGATGAAAGTTTAGAGAAACTGTAAAGGAGATGGGGACAAAACTTGCTTTCATGCACTTCCACAATTCTTGCTGGGTGAAGATGGGATAAAATAGCCACTGACCCCACCAAGATCTGGGTAAACGATTGGCCAACAAAAAAATGTGGATGGTTTTCTCACATCTCAGTTCTTTTGATGAACATTAATGTGCTATTTCTTTTTCGTTCTAGGGATTTTTTGTTGCCATCATATACTGTTTTTGCAATGGAGAGGTAAGAGTCATAAGCTTCTTAATTATGTCCTACCTTTGTTAAGCTAGTTCCAAATGTGGGTGGTAAGGTGGATGCACATCAGTCTCCCCTCTTATTTTAGAGATGCAGCTTTTGCACTCACAGAAAGATCTATCCACCCACACAGAAAGTTCATACATTCTTTTTGGTCATATAAAACATACAGATTAGTCTGCAACAATTAATAACCTACTGGCAGTAGCTAATGGGGAAAAAATTGTTTTTTTTTTTTTCCTTTTCCCAGCACAAGTGCTGTTTAGTGCCACTCAGTGTCATAGCTGTGTCAGGAATAAAAGTGGATTAATAGAATAGCTGTTTAATCATCAAGCTCTTTTGTTAGGCCAAGCTTTGTTGATCTTTTTATTCTACTTCAAGCTAAAACTTGCAAGATGTGCTTTAGTTTTCAGATTGTTTTTGAGCTGTCTTTGTTTCTTTTAATTCCCTCTGTGTCTGCATAGTAAAAATTTAGTTGATCAGTGAATGCACACTGAATTATGTTCTTGGACAAACGTGAGGCTGCAGTGGGCAAAGTTTATGGATTTAAAGGTGAAATGCAACTACAGATAAGTTCTTTATGTCCTGCAGCAAAAACCCAAGATGTTCCTTCCAATTTCACCCTACAGAGAGTTCCCATCCATGCAGATATTACCTCCTTCTGATGGCTCTCTCTCCCCTTCTCTTTCCACTCATGCTTTTTTCTCCCCTTGCCTCTCAGGTCCAAGCAGAAATAAAGAAGTCATGGAGCAGGTGGACATTAGCACTTGATTTTAAAAGGAAAGCACGAAGTGGGAGCACAACCTACAGTTATGGACCAATGGTTTCCCACACCAGCATCACAAATGTAGCCACGAGAGGGGCACTTGCCCTTCATCTCAATACAAGACTTATACCAGGGACCCTCAATGGACACCGGAATTTACCAGGTTACGTAAAAAATGGCTCTATTTCTGAAAACTCTATGCCTTCTTCTGGACCAGAGCAGTACAACAAAGATGAGGAGTACCTGAATGGCTCTGGGCTTTATGATGGAGACAGACCCACAGTACTTGTTGAAGAAGAAAGAGAGACAGTGATGTAAAGAGAAGAAACAAAAGGATGAAAAAGGTTCCTGGAGAGCATTTAGTGGGCAAAAGAATATCAGTCCACACAATGGATGCCAAGGGTTTCCATGCCTTTTCTCTGTTCTGTGGAACAAGAGGTTAAGTTATATGGGAAAAAAAAAAAAAAAAAAGCCACCAATGTGGCCAGTGGTTGATCACACACATATACCCAGTGATCTAAATCTCCCCAGTGTTAATGGAGGCCCTCCACAGGCCTTGCTACCTGCTGAACAACAGAGATACTGAGAGTTTGTGGGGAGGGTTGCACAGCAGCACGTGGTCCTTTCACTTTTTGGAGAACTTGGGCAGCCAAGGAGGATGGGAATCTCACCCAGTAAAGCAAGAGTCTTGTGGGGAGAGTATATTGTCATCTTCTTGCAAGGGTACAAGCCACCCTGGGCATCTTTGGTTTGGTTTGCTCTTTCCTTTTTGAATCTGTCTGGTAGCACACATGAGAATGACCAAGGCCCTTCGGGTACCATAGCTGCCCATTCTTGCAGCCAAGTTCTCAACATGGACAGCTTGGTACAACTTGGGACATGTTCTTCCCTTGGGCATTCTCACTCCTTGGCAAAAAGCTCCTCTGGGATGGGCAGGTTTAACAGCTCATGGTCACTAGATGAAGGCAAAAAACTGTATTCTTCCTTCCTTGAGTATCATAGCAAGCCAGAAACCAGTGCAATTTTAAGATGGGAAATGCAGTTATCAGAACATGTGACATTTTCAGTGTGACATTTTCAGTCTTCCAGATACAGCAGTGGAGATGGGCCCACTCTGCCTGCTCCTGGGCAGTTTGAGATGGGGAAGGATGTTCGCAGATCTTCAACTTGTGTGTCTGTGTGTGTGTGTGGCTAAAATCAGCTCAGAAGGTCTCTATCTCAGCCTCCCTCTTTGTGGCTGCTCAGACACCAGTAATGTTCTTATAAAGTTACACATTTCTTCTCATTTTCCCCTCTAAATTACTTGTTTCTCGCTAATCCGAACACTCATGAGGAGAAACACAAGATGCTAGATACAGCCAGGCAAGCTTGCCTTCATGAGGCTCAAGGGCAGAATCTGCTGGGTGTAAGCACAGAGATGGCTCATGGACAGTCGCCTTCTGAGCATCTTCATTCTTTCCCATTCTTTGTGGTCGGGACATTCAAATGAGTCACACATACATATAGACATCTGGCCAGCATCTTAGCTGGTGTGATTAAGTATAATTTCAGCCAAAGTCACTGATTTTGCCTAGAGACGCTTAGAAGAGGAAATATTGGAGTTGCCTGAGAAGGGAAGAGCACAAGAACATTTAGGTTAGATGTTCAGAAGAAAATCTTTAATCGGAGTGGAGAGGTACTGGTATAGGGTGCCCAGGGAAGCTGTGGGTGCTCCATCCCTGGAGGTGCTCAAGGCCAAACTGGATGGGGCCCTGGGCAGCCTGAGCTGGTGGGGGGCAACCAGTCCACGATTGAAACTGGATTGACTTTAAGGTCCATTTCAACCCAACCATTCTATGATCTATGAAATGCCTGATTCCTACAAGAGAGAGAGACCAGAGTATTTTGTCACCTGGCTGTTACTGAAATGGAGCAGAGATCAGTCATTGGAGCAGTTTGTAGAAGTCTTTCAGGATGCAGCAATGGAATGTCTTACCATCTATCCTGATCCTTTAGGTATGGCTGCTGTGGCATACCAACCAGTGCTTCTGAGATGCATCCAGTCACTTCACACTGCAGGCTCTGAGTATGTATTAAGGACTAAATTCTCCAAAATTCTGAAGGAGGTCAGGGTGAGCCTAGAGATCTTGACTCTGTGTTCTGTGTCTCACATCTTCTTTAGGCAACCTCTCAGGTTGAAGCCCAGTGTAGTAACAAACCTCCTCCCCTTGGCATCTCTGGGTTTTTGATTTGGACTTGGTAGGGAGCGTGGTGGCTAAGAGGCAATCCTCTTCAAGGCACTGAAGCACCTCTCAAACAGCTGCAGACCTACATGAGCCAGTCTTTAAAAGCCAGTATTTATTTGTGATGTTCGGGTTTTTTTTCCTTATTTTGTATCATCAGAATAACTCAAAACTCCTCACAACCATTTACCACCAAACGGCAGCTATTGCAACATCGGGTTTGCAAAGCATAACCTTTTTTTTTTTTTCTTTCCCTCATGCTCTCTTATTGTTCTTGTTGCTTCTACGAGCAATAATAACAATGCTAGCAGTAGTATTACAGAGAGGTTAAGTAATCTTGCAAGAGAAGTCAGCTCTAGTGAAAGTTTGGCATGGAGAGCTCTGCAGAAATCTGGGTCAGCCCTGCTCTGCTCGCTGCTCGCCTTTTCCTCGCAGACATTGGCACAGCCTCAGGAGGGAATCAAAGGGGCAGAAGTTCTTACCAGAGTGTGTACAGCTGTTATTCAGCATCCCGTGTGGCTGAGCTGCCAATGAGAGAGAAACACATTGAGTATGCTGGCTCTGGTTTTCTGCCCTTCCAGAAGTACGTTGTGCTTAAATCGTGCCAAGTAGATGCAGTGATCTCCCTTTTTTTTTTTTTTTCTCACTCAGAGGAATTACTTGGTATCATTTCACTGGTGGGACAAAACAAAAAGGCATACAAAATAAAAGCCACCAACAAAACACCAAAAACACTAGTGACTCACTGTTTATTTGTGTTTCTTACAGAGAACTCAAGATTAATAACATGTTTGGCAATTGCTTAGCAAAGTTCAGGGAATTAGCAAAACCCATAAAGCGAGTTATAAACAAATTCAACACCCCTCATAAACAGAAATGCATTCATCACTAGCTTGTTGAGAATAAGTGCTTAAAAGCTGATGTTAAATGTAGATAAAATTTAAATGCACGAGGAATGTGCATGGGAAGAAGTCTTTTCTTGATCTTTTCAAATACCAATCATACACAATAGATTCTTTTCCCTTGGTGCTCATGTTCAGGAAAAATAAAGGGAAAATGCCTATACCATAACAGGGGAATACTTCTGCTTTTAAAGATATGGTAGAATGTAATGTTAAAGTCTGTTCCTGTCCTTCTTGTGCTGATTGCAGACTGCACTGTTGGCTGAGCGTATAGGCTGTGCTGTATTAGCCAGTGATCCAAGGACATTCTCTACTTTCTCTTTGAGAGGAAAAGATTAGACCCACGTTGCTTTGAAACAGAGAAGAAACCAAAATTTGCTGTTTTCACTTGTCCTGGAAGGGCAGAGAGCCAAAATGTTTAGGTATGGAATGTGGTCACCTTCACTTTTCTCCATCACCAGAAGATGCAGGCATTGCAAGGACAGGGCTGAGAGCTGTCCCTGTTCTTTACAGGGGAGCTGGACTTAGATGGCCAATAAGGGTCCCTTCCAACTCAACTGATTCTATGGTTCTATGATTCCATGTCATTTTATCCCCATGCAAAGGTCCGTTCCTCTACAGGGTGACAGTTCCCATTCTGTCTGATTTACACATGGGCAGAGAGACATCCTCAAGCTCACTTCTAAAGGAGGCAAAGGCTTGATGTACCTCACTGCCTCTATTTCAGCACCTTTCCTTCCTCCATGGCATCAGCTTTATGTCCTTTTCTTGCCTTCCTGTAAATCAGCTGTCAATACGCAGGACTGGTTGCCACTGAGATGCTGGAGTTGGGCAGGAATCTCCCTCTCTGGCAGGTTCTTGTGGTACCCAGCCCTGCACCTCATCTGTCCCACCCATAGCAGCTGAGTCTGCTAATAATCCTGAGTCCATTCTACTTGATCTACCTCCTTTCTGAATAGACATAGAAATGTTAACGTTTCTTGGACTCGTGTTTCTTAAGGATGATTTTTGGCAGTTCCTCATCATTTCTGCTTCGCCTGCATTTGTGCAGACAATTGTTTTTACACCTTCTTTTAACTGCTTTTTCTTAGTTCAGATGAGATCATGTCTTGTCCCCTTCCTCACCATCCCTCAACTCTGCTGCATCTTGTCTGATGCATATTAGAGCCAAATCAGTTGACAAAGTTATCCCAAAAATTGAACTGCTCAGCCAGGAACTGGCTTCCTTTATTTGTTTATAGGCAATTGGCTGAAAGCTGCAGAACATCCACAGAGCTGGTAAGAATTTTCTGTTTTTAAAGACTGAAAATACACCAAGCATGAAGATCTTGTTTTTATTCCTTTTATTGTTTGGATGGATTCAATGACTGCCTTAAAAGTTTTTAGACTTCTGAGTCCAGTCTTTCAAAAAGTTAAGGCACCTCAGTGGGTTTTGTTTTCTTGTTTTTCTACTGTTTTTCTAATTTTTTTCTGCATAACTTCCACCTAGAATTCATTGAAAGCTGCAAGTGGGATTACGGATAACAAGGACGTCCTCAACTCATCTGTATCTCTCACTCTCTTCAGTGTTTCTTTCACTTGAGATAGGACTGCATGAAATAAGAGAAAGCACTTTAAGAGTTGACCTTCAAGGGAGAGGTTGCATGAACCTGTGAAGTCCTTTCATGTGCAGTGTTGCTTTTTATACGACTGTGCATTTCTCTGCCTATTGTTGCCCATGAGTTTGCCAAAGCCCATCTGTGCCTTCCCATAGAAAGTTATGCAGCAGTATCATGGTTCACATCCTCTCTTTCGGGCTTTAATCTGAATTTTGTGACATTATGGCTGTAAGAGGAAGCAAAAGGAAAATGATCTGGGGCAACATTTTCCAGCCTTTGAGGTTAAGGATTTGGTGTGTGCCTCCGCGGCCATGTAGCCTTTGTCACAAATCAGCATTGCTCTGGTGGCTGCAAATTGTAAACCATTCAGCATGTAAGGAAGATTTACTTTAAGGCCATGGGCAGATTAAGGAAGGTCTTCACCGTGCCACTTTCCCACTAAGATCACGTGCTGGGGAAGAAATCGTGTTGCACTCTCGGGCAAGTCTAGGGAAATTGATGTATTTATTTATTTTTAATATAATGGAACACGTTTTCTCTTTGATTTTTTTCTTTTTTTTTTTTTTTTACTTCTATTGCTGACAGGTTGCCACATTCTGCAGCATAAATATATGGACATATATGATATTCCTGGCAAGCTACAGAGGTGTTCAGGCATCCAGTGTGACTGTCCAGACAGAGTAGATTTTATATCCCATTCCTCTAGAGTATCTTGAAATGAGAAAAAATATTAAACTGTAAAGGAAATGGGTTTGCGAAAGACCCTATAAATAAATTTCCATCGTGATCAGCCAGGGATGTCTAAATTTGCCTCAAAACATAATGTTTCATAAATGGTGTGAGTAAAATGAGGGGGATGTCCATCTCTGTGGATGTCCATTGGAAGACAGCTCTCCTATTTTTGCCTACAGAGGAGAAAGGTTGAGCCTATTGGACAGCAAATACTGTTGGCCCAAAGGAAATGTATTGTTTTGAGGCAGCAGTTCCATTTGTATAAAAGTTATTAGGCTCACCCTGTTCCACTCAAACTATTTTTATGGCCTCTCACAAAATCAGAACTTAAGCTTAAGTCATATCTAAGGGTGGGAGAGCAAAAGAAAGCAGAGGTGGGTTGTTGCAAAGACAGATGATTAACTAAAGGATACTAAAATATTGGTGGTTTTTCCAATAATGACATGTTGCCTGGAAAGTCTGAGCCAGAAATCTGGTCTCCCTGATGTTTTCTCATTTTCTTTGGGGTGCACGGAGGTGCATGGACACACAGCTGTGAACCCACCTGGTCATGTAAAAGCTCAGAGACATCAGGACCAACTGAATGAAGAACAGTGACCTTGCCCTGAAAGTCTTACCAGAAGTGTTGTAAATGAGCTTCGTTTAGTGGTTAGCCCTAAGTTTATTTGGTGTCTGTATACGAAGGCTGATAGTAAGCGGAGGATCTCCAAATCCTAGTACTTTTTATTCAGTGCTCGTTGATGTCTTCACTGACTACTCCTTGATTTGTAAGTGCTTCTGAAGATGTTAGAGCAGAGATCTACTGAAAGTCCAACAGTTGAAGCTGAAACTGAGACTTGGTCTTCTCTCACTGCTAGCAGTCCCCTACTTCACCTGTAGCGTTAGGTGGTGGTGGTCCAGAGCAACAGGGGAGATAGAACAAGCAGCTTTCCTGGATCTTGACACTGCTTCTTCCTAGTGGGTAGAAAAGCCCAAAAAAAGGACAATCTGCTGATGATCTCTGCTGAGTGGACACCTCTTCTCTTCTACCCTCAGATTTTAGGGGTGTGGTTTATTGGGCATGGCGGGGATGGGCTGGTGGTTGGTTTAGATGATCTTAGAGGTCTTTTCCAACCTTAATGATCCCATGATTCTATGATTCTAAATTCAGGTTGGCTGGAGTTTTTCTCTACATTTACTTTCATTTCTTTCCAACCTGGCCCTAGAAAAAGAAACACCTAAAACTTATTTAAAGAACTCCTTTAAGCATTTCTTTTTTTCCATTTTTCCTGGATGCAGAGCCAGGCTTTTTAATGGCTCAAAGCCAATTTCAACTCTCAGAATCAAAACCAATCTGAAACATCGGGATGGGAACATAATTTGTTCAGATCAGCTGCACCACACCCTCATCACATCATATCCATTGCATTGGGTGCAGAGCATTGGCACCCTGACAGAGCTGAAACATTGGTGTGACAATCTAGTCTTTTATTTTTGGTGCAATTTTAAGAGAAGTGAACCAAGAGTAAGAACTGGACTAGCTTCCTTTAAGTTTGAGAATGATTATAAACAAGAAAAAAGTCATAAGAAGTCATTTTTTATTTATCTCATCATGTTCTGTTGAATGCTCTGATGGTTACCATGGAGTATCTGATGTTCTGGCTTCTCCTTGGCAGGAGGAGTCCTCTGTGGTGGAGAGAACAGATAAAACGAGTGGACAGAGCAATGTGAAGCCAATTCCTAGGGCAGGACAGTCAGGAACAGATCCGATGTTGATTTTATATTCACTGGCAGAAGGCAGGAGCTGCTCCTCTGAAGTTAATTGAGTTAACTTGGTCGTATGCCAAGGCAAAACAGATCTGAATCTGGACCACAGTTCAGGACTCATTTACAATTTGCATAATGGGATTAAAATAAAGCTTCCATCTCTAACTACAGAAGTAGTCTGCTGAGAATTGGACACCCAGCTTGCTGTTTGGGATTAAATGACACCCAAGTCATCAGCCATCACATGAAATGATTGTGTTTTATCTGTGCCTGCCCAGATTACTCTGTTCTCCCCAGTGCGGTCACTTAGCCATACTCAGCTGTTTCAGCTGGTAGGGATTTTTCTTAGTCCCTTCTTTTTTCTTTTTTCTTTTTTTTTTCTATCTTACTTGCACGTGAACTTCAAGTTTTCATGCCAGCTTTCAGGTTTCAGCTAGCCCCACGGTTTCAAAGTTCAAGATAATGTCAATATGTTGCCAGGATTTGAGAGGCAATTGGGAAAAAGAATGTGAGAAGCTAATGGAAGTCACAGGGGAGCATTAAAAGGACTATCAAGTAAGGTTCAGTTAAACCTTTCCCACGGACCAGAGAAAGGTTTGCCGACCTCGGCATAGAATTTCAGCCTCCAACTGAACTTGATCGTGTTTTGCTCATTGAAGAACTTGAGCCATTCAGTATGGCCTGCAAAGCTCACCCACCGTATTTCCACTGTCAAGGGGCTTGGGTTTAGATCTGACACTGTTGTTAAATATTGCCATTTATGATTATTTTAATGTTAATGCTCTGGTCTGCCCATGTGGTTTTTGTGTCTTTCTCTAGGTTGGTCCATTAGTGTTGCTTTAGGGGGCACTTCAGAACTGTTTCTTGAGTTGCCTTTGCATCTCTGGTCTGTACCCAACCAGGACTGTCACCAGGTTGAATGCACCAGTACTGACGGGTAGCAGTGTTGCTTTGAAAGGGAACCAAAGGCAGTATTTGCAAGAGCACAACAAATTTTGTCCTAATTTGGAATGGATTTGCTAGATTCCTGAGAGGCAGGGCTGGACTGGAGATCACCTCAGTGTGACACGCTGCACAGGGGCCAGGAACAAAAGAAAAAGGGAAGGAAGAGCTGAACCAGATGAGCATCAGTAATTAAGGAGTCCTATAAGTTTGTCTTCTTTTCAGGCAGGTCCCCCTATCCAGCATAGATTGAACAGAGCTGGACACTGCTGCATGGTTAGACTCCCTCCTAAGCAGAAAGTGTAAAGAACAAATGGGGGATTCAACAAATCCTGTGCAAATTTCTCTTCCTGATTCTCACTGGGTCTTTTTCCTTCTTTTATTCTTTGGGGGGAAAAAAAAAACAACCATTAGGGCAATCTTAGCACAAGAACCTGGTTGTCAAACCCATTTCTCCAGGGTCCCACAGAGAAGCCTCTCTCTTTGACCTTAGGAATTGTGATTTTTTTTTTGCATATGAACTAAAGAATGTGATGGTATTTGATTATATTCCTCGCTCTGGGCAAACAGCGTGGTGGGTAACAAGACCAGATGTGCCATATCTGCATATTCCATATGCAATATGGAATGAAACCCTGACACCATGAAAACCAATTCCAAGACTTCTATTGATTTCCATGGAGTGGGATTTACCCTTCAATTCACAGGAGGAAAAAGACATTCAGATAAATGACCTCACCCTTCTCCTGCCCCCAAGACTTTGCCTACCACACATAATTCAGGGTGGCTTTTTGCTTTAAATCAGTAGCACTACCAAACGAGAAAGCAGAGATCAAGGGGGAGATGGTGGCCTGAATAGCAGTTGCCTCTCTCAAAATGCTTGACAAAAGCCAACATTAGATTTTGTAACGGGGGTGGCTTCTACATGTGGGGACATGGTATTTTGATGGAAAAAGGCATAGGATTAAAATGTTTGAAATGGATGGAATGAGTGTGCACTGGGTTTCCAAATGCTTGTGTCTGTGTCCTCTGAAGAAGAGATACAATGGCCATGTGAGAGAGCACTTAAAACAAGTTTAACGAAGAATGTTCTCCGAGCAGAGTAGATCTGAGGTACCTAAAACAGAAGGCAAAACAATGACTTCACCAGGGAAACAGCATCCACTTAAAACAGAGCACTACAACAGGCATGAGCCCTTCTAAATATAGAGCTGGATGTTTCCTGCCAGGCTGAGCTTTTACCTTTTTATTTTTTCTCTGTCTAAATTAGTCACTCTTCCTCCAGGGCTTCAGGGAAGGATGAGCAAGAAGATATTTGCTGATAGAGGTGAAATATTTTGACAGGTTGGGTTTAAGTAGAATTGGTGGAAGAAGGTCAGCTGCATCCAAGCACCCTCACCCACCCCCATGTCCAAAAACATGATGTCAAACTCTTGACATTTGCATGAGCTGAGGCATGCAAGAAGAGACAGATCTTCTGCTAAAACTCCTTGCTTCTCAGCAAATTCAGGGTGAACAAACCATGGTAGTCACTAGAGGTGATGGGATGTGGGCATTAGAAAAAGGACTTGGCCATTCCCAGTGGTCTGCCAGGCTCTTTCCAGTGGGATATTGGCTCCTTTTCTTCCTATGATGAGCAGGAGGGAGAAGAGCTGGGTTGTGTTCTTCCCCCTCCTACCCCAGTGATTTCACTGAAGTGGATGTAAGACTTTGTTTCACTTCAGAGGAGGGACAAGACTGAAAAACTTATGGGCAAAACTGTGATTTCTTTGTATGTGTTACGAGGACATTGCCTTGTGTGTGTTGTCAGGCAGACATTTGGTTTACATTCCTCCACTTCTGCTTTCTGTATGGACCAAAGTAATGAGAGGAAAATGACAAACCACGGATGTATGTAAAAAGGGAATTAAAATAAAAAGAAGCCTTTATTGATTCTCATGAAAATATCTCCTTTGTGTCTTTTCCTGCCTGTGGACCTCCTTTAGGTGGACCTGGTATTCCTGTGTTCAAGAAGAGAGAGCTCAATGATATCCTACAGTTCATTGTGGATACAGAAAGATGGGAATGAGTTTATTATGAGTATACAAAGATGGAAAGTGATTATGTGTCTGAAAACAGTTCATTACAGGGAACTTGGACTAGGTGGCTTTTATGGGTCCCTTCCAACGATTCTATGATTCTAGGACACTTTTCTTTGTGTGGTTTCAATACCCCTAAGCTTATGGCTTTCAGGATAACGGAGAATAAATTTGGTTGGCTCCAGCCTTTGTTTCTTGCTGGACAGCAATGTTTAGAGACGTGCTAATTCAGATGCTGAAACCCTTCTCCTAAGCACAGTTCAGTTCCAACTACTTATAAAAATTCTGGTTTACCATTGATGAAATTTAAGGACGTTCCTCCCTGTGTCACTGTTTAGTTATGGCATTTCTTTTGATGCTAGTGTTCTTCGCATAGGAGGAAGAGCTGGGCAAAAAAAATGGTCCAACATATGGTATAGTGCATGAGAACACTCCAGCACACTCATGTTCCAGAAATGCATCCATGCCCTGCCGCTCATGCAGACATGCTAGCATTCCTCGCCTGGCTAACTACAAGTGGAAAAAAGGACTAACCTCTTATCCTCTTCTAAATGATAAGCATTGAATGATTGGCCTGATTTCAAAAAGCACTCAGGTCCCAGCAGCGAGGAATGGGAACACTGCTGACCAAAGGCAGTTGCACAAACACTTGTTCCAGATGGAACTCCCCAGGTCTTGGCAGCAAATGAGATGGTTATAGTGCCTTGATCCCATTCATAGACTAACGTCAGTATCAGATAACATTCAGGAGAGAGAAACAGAAGACAGAAAGCTTTGTCCCAGTTGCTCTCTGACTTGCACACAAGTGACAGCAATCTGGTGGCACGCATTTCCTTACGCTTACAAGTGAAACCCAGTAATGAGGTTCCCCTTGGGAAGAACAGCCACACTGTAGAAGGCATTCTCCCTTAACACATATCCCAGGTGACTTCTACAACACCACTTTGGTGTAATTCAGGGGTACATCTAGCCCCGGTCCTATTTCTATTATTTATGTGCGAGTAAGCTTCACACACAGACTCAAATTTGAACACTGGAATGTGCTAGAGCCCAAATCTTTGTGTTTAGCCAAGCTTTCTTTTACCTGAATGGAAAGGAACAGGACAGAACACCCTTTAGTCCAAATTCCTCCAGCTCTTCCCCAGCACAGCATGTATACACAGATCCAACACAACTTGTATGAGGTCCATGCTTATCCCTCATCTCAAAACTGTTTCCTGCACTATTTGCACTAACTTTCAGAGGAGTAAAAGAGTGCATGACATCTCTCTGGTCATGCCCCTAATTGTCAGATGTAGAACTATAGAAAATTGCAGAGAGAAAAAACAAAGCAGTGACAAAAGGCAAAGTGGGCAAGGCATCCTTCCATCCCTTGTCCCAAAGCATACTGTAATCTTCATTCTGCTGCTCTCCTAATGTGGCTGCAGTGGCTATTTTGAAGGATGCTCTCATGCCACCTGATACATTGGCAGTATTGATGTCAGCAGGGGTGCCTCGTTCCATTCACAGCTGTGTGATGCCTTCATCTCACACAGCACAGACAATGCAGGGTGGTTCCCTGGAGTGCTGCCCTTGCAGAGTGAAGACTGTTAACTGGGCACAAGCAGATGCTGCTCTTTGTGAGTATGAAATATAACCATCGTAAAACCTAACTGATGGAGGCTTTTGTAGAACGTCATCCCTCTGACTAGGCTGTTCTGTACTTTCAAGCACTCTTTGAACATAAATTCATTCCTCCCATAGCTTTCCCCTACTCATTTAGTCATACCAAAACTAGACGGTTTCAGAGGATCCAAACTTAAGCTCTCTATTCCTGTCATGCACAAGGCTGAAATGAGTGGTGACTCCTTTCACACGGCCCTATTTGAGATCAGGGCCCTTCTACAAACACACTGTCCTAGAATCACAGAATCGTTTGAGATGGAAGGGACCCTGAAAGGCCATCTGGTCCAACTCCCTTGCAATAAACAGGGACACTCACAGCTCCATCAGATGCTCAGAGGCCCATCCAGCTGAACTTGAATGCCTCCAAGCACGGGGCACCCACCACCTATCTGAGCAACCTGTGCCAGTGCCTCATCACCCGGGCTGTAAAGAGTTTTTTCCTTATATCCAATCTAAATCGCCTCTCTTTTAGTCTGAAATCATTTTCCGTTCTCCTATCAGAATAGACCCTGCTAAAGAGTCTGTCCTCTTCTTTCTTATATCCCCCTTTAGATATTGAGAGGATCATGGATTAACCCAACAGATGCCAACTGCCCCCATTCTCCATTGATGGTTTCAGAGCACCCATCTGCTTTCTTCCCAGACACCACCACTCAAAGTGTGACTTCATACACCAAGGCTTTTGGGATAGCCATTGTAGCAGGTTCACTATGCTGGCCAACAATGGACAGAGGAATACAATGTACAATATAGGTGAACCTATAGAATGTGGTAATACTGAACCAGAGGTAGACAAGTCAGATTTAGATGCACATAAAAACATGCATATTTTTCCCTTGTGAGAAGCAGAAGGCTCAGTTTGCTGCTGGCTGAGAAACAGGCAGTTCTAAATCTCTCCACTTCTCTCTCAAAGAAGAAGAACAAAAACTCTGCAAAGAATTTTCCATTTTTCCGTGCTCCTCTGAATGCCATGAAGATTAACAAGTAACATTAGCTCTGCTGAAATGCCTTCATCTGCTCATGGAAAATAGAAGACATTTAAGCAGCCAAACTTAAGCAAGAAAAAGAAGTTAAACACAAAATATGTCTCTTTGGAATCAACACCCCTTTGCAGAAGGGAAGGATTGATATCTGCCAAAGTGCTAACAGCTGTTTTTTTATACGCAGTCCTACATACATTTTCTGTAGGAGGAACACTGGATGCAGCAATGGTGAATGATTTATCTGAAGCAGCAGGTGTATTGCAAGCATCATTTCAATCTGTCATGTGCATGCGTGTGGGGAGGGAGGAGAGCTTCAATGAGTGATTGTGGCCACCTATGAAGCAGGATGTAGGCAGTGCTGTGAGCCAACTAGGCTACTCAGCCAGTCTATCTGGAGTATATCTACCAGCTCTTGTATCAAAATAGCATGTGTAATACTTGTCGAATGTGCTTTCTTGCCTGATGGGAAGATAACAAACTACCAAAATCACCATTGTAAAGCAGGAACCTGAAACTCAGGACTAGAGATAATGGCCTCAAGTTGTTCCAGGGGAGGTTCAGCTTGGATATTAGGAGAAATTTTCTTCTCAGAAAGAGTGGTGATGCAGTGGAACAGCTGCCCAGGCTGGTGGTGGGTCACCATCACTGGAGATGTTCCAGAAACATGGAGATGTGGCACTGAGGGGAGTGGTCAGTGGGCACGGTGGGGTGGGTTGGGGTTGGCTTTGGGGGATCTCAGAGGTCTTTTCCAACCTTAATGATTCTCTGATTCTAGCTCACACTGTTAAAGTCTGTTCTTTGTGAGTTTAAGTCCAGTTCTTACCATTTTGAGTAAGAATTTGAAGGATGGTCTTTCCAACTTTAAATTTCAAGTCTGGTTTTACAAGGTCTCTGCCTCTTTCCATCTCCCTCAGTGTTGCTGTGGTTCTTCCTTTCCCCTGAAGGAATAACAGTCCTGAAGGGCATCTTACCTCACCAGAAAATGACCAAATCAGCCCTACCATTATAAGGTTTTCTTAGGGAGGCAATAGGAGGGAGAGGTGTCATATGCAAATCCAGGGCTATGATGATCTTAGTGGTGTTTTCCAACCTTTATAATTCTACAGTTCTATGATACAGAGCTGAGATCAGGGAAGCAGGAGAAAACATGCAGTGGAGCTAAATGATTAAACAACCAGAGTGAGTCTGCTGGAACATGAAATGCTTTTTAATGAGCATGAGCTTCTCCAAAATGTCAAGTATCATTTATTCACTTATGCCTCAGTCTGAGGAACATCTTGTTTAAATCACACACAACAGCAGGGCCAGATCCTGTGCTCAAGTAAATCAGCATAATGCCACTGAGCTCCCAGGGATGATGTTGATGTACAGAGGCACAACACAACTGCAGTTGGTAGGGAGGTTCTTGGGCTACCAGCCAGGGTATGGCACAGCAGAAGAGAGAGAAGGTTTAAATGAGTGGAAAAGGCCTGTGACAAGAGGCATGGTCCCATTCATGGTAATCTGTAATCTGAGCTTTGAAGCCCTTAGAGAGGTTTGCCTTCATGCTCATCCCAACTCACTTTTTTTGGACCTACCATCCAGAGGTGCAGCTGGACAAGGCACTGTCTGAAATTCCATCACCTTCTGTTTTCAACTTGCACTTTCTTAATGATGTTCAATCTCCTGCAGCTTTCAGGATAAACTGCTGGTCTCCCATGTGCTCCTCCATGCCTATGGTCTTGGCCATAGGTTCAACCTTGTTCCAGTGTCTCACTCTTACTCTGCTGAATGAACCAGGCAATGGTGGTTGTACAGCTGTGAAGGAATGCTTGGAGAAATAAAGAGCCCATTACTTTTTGCCCTAATAATATAACAGATGATATTTCATTATTAAATGAACTTTTCTTTCTCCTCCAGGAATTCACTGTGGCATGTTTGGATACCAGGGTTGTGTGTACTTACAATGTCGGTATCTTCATTTCAAAACCTTGCCTTCCTGAATGCAAGATGTTGCAATTTCTGGTTACTTACACAAAACAGTCCTGAATGGCATGACTTGCACCCTGGAATTTCAGAAGGAAAATCTGGGAGAGGGGGTAACCATTTGGTTCTGAGAGAGGACCACAGAATTCAGAGTATTTTCAGGTTTGCTGCTGGCGAACTCGGTTTGTAAATTCACTTACAAGCTCAACAAACAATGAATAAAAACTAGACAGCTTGCCTGTGCTCTT